GTTTGACCAGGGAAAAAAGAAGCCACTTCCAAGCAGGGTTCATGGAGCCATAAATAGAGATAACACCAGTGATCTAATGCTGCTCAGAGAAGCCCACGGTGAAAGGCTCAAGGGAGAAAACACTCTGGGAAGTTTGTTTTCATTAAGCTTTGACAGAGCCCTCCGCAACCATGTGCCCCTGGAGACCTTGAACGAGATGCCTGGAGAACCTGAGTTGCAACCCCAGCTCTGCTCCTATCTCCCACAATGACTTTGAACAAGGCACTTAGCTACTCTGAGCCTTAATTTCCACATCATTAAACAGAGGGGTTGGGTTAATGATCTAGTGGGCACCTTCCAACATTCCATGTCTCTCTAATGTGGCCATATTCTGTATAAATCCGATGGTTGAGTTATGCTACAGGAGCAAAAATCCCAACTTCTCAATATTTACCATAACTTAGATTATGATTGCTTCATGCAAAGCCAGCTGCAGTTTTGGGTAACTCTCCAGAACAATTGCCTTCCACACAGTATTTCAGGCTGACACAGGCTGTGTCTATTATTTATACCACCTTTAACGTATGATCTCATTGGTGACATGCAGATAGGGAGGGTGACTAGAGAGAGAATCATACACAGGCTTTTCACTGATTCAGCTTACATGTTACATACATCAGTTCCACTCAGTTTACCACAACGACAATGAGTCCTATCCCTGCCTGACCCTTGGTGGTATGGAAGGACAGACAGGAGAAGGGGCTGAGCAGTGGGAATGTCCATGTTTTCAGAAGGGGAGAAATACTGGAGATTGGTGAATATTAGAAATGTCTACACACAGCTGCTTTTCAATGACAAAGACCTTTTCTTTTCTTTTTCCAACTGTTTCGTAAACAGTTCTGACAATGTTTTGAGGTCCATAGAAAAGCTCTTCATAACTCCATTTTATCAGTGAGAAAACATGCCCAGAAACATTGAGCAACATATGCAATGTCACAGACCTGCCTAATGTCTGGAATGGGTCTAGATTCCATGGCTTTGGCTCTCTGCTTCTTCAAGATGTAAAGAGATTCTAATATAAAGATCTTATATCAGAAGACCTGCACTGAAATCCTGACCATTCTTTTCATGACAACCTTCTCTTTGAGCCTCAACTTTCATACCCTACATTTACGGTATTAGAGTTTCCTTGGGAGAATTAAATAAGATAACCAAAGGGAAAGGGCCTATCACAGAGTAAAGCAAATATTAGGTAAACTATACATTTCGTTCAACTAACCACTTCATGGTGTCTTCAACTGTTCAAAGACCACATATTCTTAAAGTTCTTTTAGAGCCAGAGGACACTGTACACAGAAATACTTCACTAATGTTATAAATTAACCAGATATAGAGTTATTTTTATTGAAATTTATCTATTTGAAGACTAGGACCTATTTGGAGTTGGGCAGGTGTTATATTTTTCCCAGCACCTATAAGTACCTAGAAGAAGGTAGAAGCTCAAAGCACGGAGTCGTGCCTGTCCGGCATGGTAGAGGGTTGAGCGTTGACCTATGAACCAGGAAGTCACGGGGTTCAATTCTTGGTCAGGGCACATGCCCGGGTTGCCAGCTCAATCCCCAGTGTGGGGCATGCAGGAGGCAGCTTATCAATGATACTGTCTCATCATTGATGTTCCTATCTCTCTCTCCCTTTCCCTTCCTC